ATCTATGATTGGCCGAATTTAGGTGTTCAGGCTGATGTAGAACTAACTGGCCTGCAGAAGATAACGGAAAAAAATAACGATTATAAGACAGGATATTTTTTTTAAACATAAATTTTCTAACTTTTGGGACAATATGGTCTTATAAAGAGAACATTTATATCCATGTTTAAGCCAGAATGATTTGACATTTAAATATGATTTCCCTACGACTTTAAGATAATTAAGATCTTCAAACTTGGAAACAAAGTCCAGTGAATAGTTTTATAACTTTTTTGAAAGCATAATTCTGTATGTTTTTATTTATATATATATATATTGTCATTTTCTAGTTATTAGAGTTACTGTTATGAATTAATCATTTTCTTTATCAGGAGTCTGTCTAAACTTTCAAGCATAACTGTATATATTTACCTTGTTAATTATAAGCCATTTTCAGGATTGGCAGTCCAAAGAAGGAGAGGTTTAAAAGGGGAGGAGCGAAGTGGAAGGTAAGGAAAAGCCAGGTAGGTTTCGGTACAGCCCGTCCTACAAGACAGAACAGAAAAGCCTGAGATTCGATGTGTCGGTGAGTGATAGAGTCCGTTTTTTGGCAAAAGGCACTGAGCAAGTTTCAAAAAGGTAGAAAATTGATGTAGAAAACAGCTGCCTGGGTGTTCAACCCTCCAATAAACCTATGAACATAGAATGGACCCTGTCTCTAACCACTTCATTGAATCAGAGACTAAGAAAAACGAAGAGAAATGTTAGCTTCTTTTAAAATATAATCAGACTAATTAATATGGACATTTACAGGGAATTTATTGATACAATTACTTTGTCTTTGGCGCTCAGACCTCGGCAGGAAACATAGCGCTAAATTTTGATAGATCTGCATGAACAGGAGTAAAGAACAGGGCTGTTTCCCCCCCAGGCCCAAAACTGGTGGTGGAGTGGAGATAGATGGAGTTGGTCAGTCTGTAGACTGCTGGTTGGAGAGACGGTCTGCTGAGCTTTATGGGGAGATCCAGTGGACTGCGTGAGCTGATACTAGAGCTTCACTCAGGGACCTGGAAGATGGAAGTCCAGCTGGATAACACAGGTTGAGAGAACCTGTCCATAATGAGCAAGCATGAAGCGACAGTGGAGAGGAAAAACTCTGGCAGAACCAGACTCAACATGGCGGTCTGCTGTCTAACCCTGCAGTAAGAGTCCAGGAGGAATGACGCTCTGATGAAGCTTTAGCTACGATGGTGGAGGAGGGGATGAGGGGGAGGAAACGGTGTCACACAGCGCAGCCGCCGTCTGCTCACTAGGTAGCAGAGATGGCAAAAGTACTCACTTTCCGTACTTGAGTAAAAGTACAGATACTTGTGTTAAAAAATACTCTGGTAAAAGTGGAAGTACTGATTAAACTTCTTTACTCAAGTAAAAGTAACAAAGTACAGGCTTGTAAATGTACTTAAAGTATAAAAGTAAAAGTAGAAACCACTTTTTTCATGCCGTTGCCTACATTTTAAATGGATGTCTGCCAATAGGACTAGATCTCCGTTGTGTTCATTTTCAATCATCTCGTCGTCCATGCTACTATGCTAACGCCACCGCCACCAAGCTGCAATGATTTGCCGCCAATGAATACCGCCGAATCTGTCGATTCATCTTGTAGTGGTGCATCAAATGCAACGTAGATTCCCATCCAATTAGATTGAATTTGGTATTGATGACGTGAAGAATAATAACGGTAACTCCATTGAAATGATTCAAAACTAAAGTAACGAGACAATTTTTTTAAAATGTAAGGAGTAGAAAGTACAGATATTTGTGTAAAAATGTAAGGAGTAGAAGTAAAAAGTCGCCATAAAAATAAGTAGTAAAGTAAAAATATCAGAAAAATCTACTGGAGTACAGTAACAAAGTATTTGTACTTCGTTACTTCCCATCTCTGCTGGGTAGCAGACCAGTTGTGGATCGGAGGCCTTTTAAGATGAACTGGATGTTGATTGGCTTTGGTGGAGGTGTGGTTCAAAGCTGATTGGCTGTATCGTAGGCGGATTTAGGCCAGTAATCATTTTATTTCGTTGAACTTCCACCTAGGCTCCCATTTTAGCCCCGCCTACTACTGGCCACCATCATTGGAAACTAGAGGCTCAGACCTTTCCAAGGAGGGGTCAGAGGTCATTGTGTGACCATTTCAGGTGATGTAAACGGCATGCGTTCCATAAACCAGCTCTGTTTTTCTTATTTTCTATTTAGTTTGGTAATATTATTGGTAAATTTCAGTGAACTAAAGGCTAAATCTGAGGAGCAAAGGCTTTGCCTCATGCAGAAGGTCTCCAATGATGGAAATCAGCATATTTGTCTCAGATTGCCTTTGATGAGGAGAAATAATGCATTTTTTTGCAATTTGTGCTAAAATCCCATTTCCTCCTAGCACTCTGCCCACTAAAACTTTTGTGGAACAAACATGCTTCAACTGATTCAGTCCAGATTAGCTTTAGTTCTAGTCTAGATGTAGATCTATAAAGTCTGAGGTTCATCCAGAGCTTCTTATGGGCTTTATGGTGTTTTTCAGTGTTTATTTTGGAACATTTTTTCTTTGTTTAATCACATATAAATCAGACATGGTGACATTTAAAATAGTGATTCCACCTGGAAAATATTCCTCGATGCCTTCCTGTCACACAGATACACACAACTGTATTTCCAGTTTATAGTTCGGGAGCTGGACTTTAATTCACAGATGGAATTTCAGGTGCAATTTGCTCCTAAGGGGTTAATTTACTTTCAAGTCTACTTATAGTTTCTTGAAGCACATATTAAAAATATCTTAAAATCAACCTTTTACTTTACTGACTAATATCTTATTGCTAGAGTGACATAATCTTGTTAAAATATATGCTAATAGTAGATTTTATTATAGTAAAGTAGGGCTGCAACCAGCGATTAATCGATTAATCTGTGGATTATTTTTTAAATGAATAATCAGATAAGAAGATTTTTTATGAAATTTAACCAGGTAAACTAAAACTTTCCCACCAAGGAGTTCTGGATTATAGAGCAGATTAACAGAAGAAAATGTTTTTTTAAATCTTAAATGCAAAATATTCATTTTTTATTTTTTATTTTGGTATAATTCCTTCTCTAAGAGCGTTGCTCTGTCAGGTGTTACTGTCTCTATACTCCAGTTAACAATCGATTACTAAATTATTTGATGATTATTTCAATAATCAATTAATCAAGAATAATCTGATTAATTGTTTCAGCCCTATAAAGTAAATCTGGAAGATTACTTCAAGTATACATCAAAGTAAACAAAGTAGACTAATTTAGTCCAAAGAACTATATATTTTTAGTAAAGTTTATTATTAAATTAATTCTAATCTTCAGATCTGCACTTTTTAAACTCAAAAACATGAATCCAAACTATACATACTGGTAGTTTTGGAAATTATAAGGAGGGTGTTTGTTTAGCTAGACTTTTACTATGACATGTACAAAGGTTTTAAAAGTATTAATGTTTATTCCTCCAGTATAAATCCTGCTATTTAAAAACACTTTTATAGAAGTTAGAGGATCAACTGCAGCTTTTTACTCCAGTAAAAGTGTAAAAGTAGCATTTTTAAAACTAATTAAAGTATAAATGTAAAAGTACTGCAGGAAAAACTGCTCTGCTCTATTAAAGGAACATTTTTCTACTATTCTGGATGAAAACTTCCTTAGACTTTATTTACTTAGTTTTATAGCTAATGCTAACAGCGTCACATTTAACTTTGCATCATCTGGAAAACTATTTATTTTGGTATGTGGTGAGCAACAGGTTAAAAGAAATAAATTGTCTGGATGAAACTAATTATTTTGATGGTTTTTATGTTTTTTTAAACACCAACAGGCCATCATGAAAATGTGCTTAAATAAAACAAAACTAATGATTCTATTTTTTAAATGTAAGGAATAGAAGGGAAAAAATGTCTAAAATATAATTACTCCAACTCTATCTAACTATAGATTAAAGGTAACGAGGTATTTGTACTTTGTTACTTACCTCTGGACAGGTATAGGTAACATACCTGATATATTATCATTGATAAGGACACAAGTAAACTGAACATACGGTATACTTTAAGTACACTTGCGTTTACATGTTTTAAATAAAAAAACAAAGACATAATATCAAATCTGCAACAATCAGTCATAGAATTCTGAGAAAATCCTAATTTTACCAAAATAAAGCTGTAATATAATGAAAATAATAAATTGTCTCTGTCTCCTTGAACCCCAGTGGGCCTCAGCAGATGGCCGCTCACACTGAGCCTGGTTCTGCTGGAGGTTTCTTCCTGTTTTTCCTCTCCACTGTCGCTACAAGCATGCTTAGTGTGAGGGATTGCTGAGGAGTCAATGAGTCGATGCAATCAGCTGGTTTTCCTTTGAATCAATCTGACTGGATGATCTGGTTGATCTGGATCTATAAAGTGACCTGAGATGACATGATGTGAATTGGAGCTATAGAAATAAACTGAATAGTAATGAATTTAAAATAATATTATAATACAGACGTTACTGTATAAAAGTCAGAATTCTGAGATTTTCCCATGTTAACATAAAATAATATTTAAAAATCAGTGGCACTAGTCCTGTAGCTCTAAGTGGGTCGCTCTGCCAGCTGAGGTCGTTTTAGAGTCTCAGTTAACGATGAATTAATGACTAACTAGATTATTTCTAGAACTGACATGCGCTGTGAATCGGTGCTATAGAAATAAACTGAATTGAATTATAAATACTCAGCCAAACAAACCTTAGAGCACCTATTTTAGAGAACATGTGGGGAGGAATATAATCCCAGATTAAGGTAGAGATTTTAAAGGTCATTTTTAATCCAGTTCTCTTTGAATGTGTTGATAAATGTGGAGAAAGTTCAGAGCTCCTGAATCATAAGCAGTTCTTTTCACCATAGCGCTGTGTCATTAAGGCCCCCCGAGATCAGCAGGTGTTCTCGCGATAACAGCGCAGCCTGTGATGTTGGGCTGCAGTATTTATGGGCAGCAGCAGCAGCAGCAGCAGCTCCTCTACTCTGCAGCTGGGAGGCAGGAGGAGATCTTTCTCCTTCTCTGAGCTTTACTCCGGCAGGAGGATTTTCTACAGCAGAGCCGCAGCTGGATCCTCCCAGCATAACCGATCTGGTAGGACTATATCTGTGCTGCTTGGCCGCCTTCTTTGCTGTGTTTGATTTTTCCTACATGTTGTTGCTTTGGATGAGTGGCGCAGCGCAGCGGCAGGGTTTCCGCATTTAGAGGCAGCCGCTCCTGCCGCAATAAATACTCCTGCTTTGGAGCAGGACACGTTCTAAAATAACATCTATCCGCCTATGTCCTCGGATAGTCCGGGATAGACTGGGATAGACCGCGTTAGACCGGGTTAGACTGGGATAGACCGCGTTAGACTGGGATAGACCACCTTAGACCGGTATAGACGGTGTTAGACCGGATTAGACCAGGATAGACAATGATTAGACCAGGATAGACCGCGTTAGACTGGGATAGACCGGGATAGACCCCGTTAGACCGGGATAGACCGGGTTAGACTGGGATAGACCACCTTAGACCGGTATAGACGGCATTAGACCGGATTAGACCAGGATAGACTGGGTTAGACAGCGTTAGACTGGGATAGACCACCTTAGACTGGTATAGACGGCGTTAGACTGGATTAGACCAGGATAGACTGGGTTAGACGGCGTTAGACTGGGATAGACCACCTTAGACTGGTATAGACCGCGTTAGACAGGATTAGACCAGGATAGACTGGGTTAGACGGCGTTAGACTGGGATAGACCACCTTAGACCGGATAAGACTGCGTTAGCCCTGGATAGACCTTGTTAGACCGGGATAGACTGGGAGAGACCGCGTTAGACCTGGATAAACCACGTTAGACCTGGATAGACCGCGTTAGACCTGGATAGACCACGTTAGACCTGGATAGACCGCGTTAGACCTGGATAGACAACGTTAGGCCTGGATAGACCGCGTTAGACCTGGATAGACCGCGTTAGACCTGGATAGACCGCGTTAGACCTGGATAGACAACGTTAGACCTGGATAGACCGCGTTAGACCTGGATAGACCGCGTTAGACCTGGATAGACCGCGTTAGACCTGGATAGACCGCGTTAGACCTGGATAGACCGCGTTAGACCTGGATAGACCGCGTTAGACCTGGATAGACCGCGTTAGACCTGGATAGACCGCGTTAGACCTGGATAGACCGCGTTAGACCTGGATAGACCGCGTTAGACCTGGATAGACCGCGTTAGACCTGGATAGACAACGTTAGACCTGGATAGACCGCGTTAGACCTGGATAGACCGCGTTAGACCTGGATAGACCACGTTAGACCTGGATAGACCGCGTTAGACCTGGATAGACCACGTTAGACCTGGATAGACCGCGTTAGACCTGGATAGACAACGTTAGACCTGGATAGACCGCGTTAGACCTGGATAGACCGCGTTAGACCTGGATAGACCGCGTTAGACCTGGATAGACCACGTTAGACCTGGATAGACCGCGTTAGACCTGGATAGACCGCGTTAGACCTGGATAGACCGCGTTAGACCTGGATAGACCACGTTAGACTGGGATAGACCTTGTTAGACCTTGTTTTATGGCCTAACCCTAACACTTAATATTATCAGCGTTCTGATGGCATTTTAGCAAAAGGATTTTTATCAAAAACATAATTAATGTTCACAAATAAGGAATAGTTGTATTAACCATACATGAAAACAGAGTTTTATGTGGCCCCCAGGAACTTGGGGCCCTAAGCACCTGCCTTGTATAGCCTGATGCTAAATCCCCCCTGGGTACAGCTAGCACACAGATCCATGCAATAAAGTAGAAGTAAACACTTTTTCACACAAAGGTTGCGGTTAATGCAATGGAAAACAAAAAAAAATTCTCAATTTTAGTCAAAATAATCGCAATTAAGGTTTTTTTTGGCAAAATCATTCAGCCCTAGTCCGGTCCAGATTATTTCTACTCTTTAATCCAGAACTTTCTGTGGTTTTTCAGAAAATAGAAACTCAGATAAACTCCTTCAGTTTAAACATTTAGCCACGCCGCATTTAGCAGATAGCATGGTGGATGGAGAAGCTTTATGAGGTCATGACCTTCATGGATCCAAGTTCTAACGATCCTCTGGGAGCATCAGAACCAGAACCGCCTGTTTAAAAGCTCTGCTAGCTGAACAACTTCTCTCCCAGCTCTGACTGGTCAATTAGACTGAAAACAGAGAGCTAGCTCAAAGTTAGCGTCCGCTACATTGGGAGGAAGGTAAATAGTCGGACAGTATTTCAGAGCGACATACCCTGTTAATGATAGATAAACATCTCTCCCTTTTATTTATCTTTTGTTTCCAATTAGACCAAAAGGTTCCTGTTCTGTTCCGTCTAGTAAAAGACTTTAATAATAAGGAGAAAAACATTCAGTTGATGCTTAATAAGTTTACAGACCTTGATCACAGCTTTTGTTACTAACTGACTGTTATTGTGTTTAGTTTTTTAAGGCAAACATATTTTTTTATGCTACATTCAAGATTTTAAACATTATTGTCGTATCTTTGTTCAGGATTCTGTGGGAGATCTTTTAGTCTTTCTAAAGGCTTTTATTTTGTTAAAATCAATGTTATACGATATGGATTGAAATTAAGAAATACAAATTTGAAGCAATATTAGGTTTATTATATCAGAATCTTCCTCCCTATTTTTACAGTCTAGTTATGGTTATCCTAAATGTATAATCATGTATATAATATATCCAATTGTAATTTTTGAAAAGCCAGAACAGCTACTGATGATTTATATGTGTTCATTTATTTTTTAAATGTTTGTGTCAATTTATATCACTGGCATTGCATCAACAGAAGCATCATTATTCGCCGATACAGTCAGCCCAGGAATCGGCATCAGATTGGATCAGGACAAACCTGGATTAGTGCATCTCTAATTCCCAGGATTAGCTTTAGGTAAACCTGTAGTCATGTTAACTTTTGTTCACCCGTTCTCCTTCTGTGCTCTTTGCCAACCGATTGCCAGGTCTGTTAACGCTAATATTTAGCATTAGCAAAAATCTAACCTACCTGGTCAGAAGAAAAGCGGTAATCTCCACATTCTTTCTGAGCCGCCGCCTCTTTGTCAGCACTGCTAATGCTAACCAACATTAGCAATAGCTACTTATAAAGGTTAGTATTAGCGAACGTTAACTGATCACCTAATACTAACCCCATTATTAGCAATAACTATTGTTAAATATTAGCTAATAGCTTTAGCATTAACAAACAGTAGCTGATTGCTAATGCTAACCAACATCAGCAATAGCTATTGTTAAAGATTAGCTAATAGCATTTGTCGCGGCCTTCTGTTCCAACAAAAATAAAGTACCAAAGTTTCCAATGAAGGCCGTGGGTGGTAACAGGTGGTTTTGTTTTTGTACACACTTCCAGCTTGGCTTAAAAGGCAAGAATAAAAAATATATAAAAAAAAAGAAAAAATACTTCAAGTGTCTTGGAACTTAGTAGAAACGAAATGTAATGTTTTTAAACTTCCAAAAAAGTGGTCAAAAAATCATTTTTCAAAACCTCCCATCCACACTAGACATTTTACCAAACATCCTCCAACACCTGGTGTGCTCCTAATCACTCAAATTAATGGGAGGGACAAACAATTAAGAACTTACTCCAAACTACTCCAAATGTAAAAAATAAATAACACATTTTGGTCCTAAATTAACTTAAATATATTCTATATACCAAAAGACAAAAAATAAATTTGTAGAAATAACAAATTACAAGAATTTAGCATAAATGGCCACAACATCCCGGCCCCTAATTCATGTCAAAGAATTATAACCAACATTTGTTTAAGTGGCCATTAAAAATAGAAAATGAATAACATTAGACATAACTTTTCAATATTTTTCTGTTAACAAAAATACTTCATTTAAACATTAACTTATGCAGTAGTCAATATTATACAATTTTTTTTTTTTTTTTGAGTACATATGTCCTTTTAGAAAATAAAAAAGGCAAAAACAGTCAGTGTTCCATGATTTCCAAGTTCTTCGTTTCTTCATGTGCAAGGTCTGTGTGTGTGTAAAAAGTAAATGTAGCAGAATGAAATGTTTAGCATGTCAGTAAATGAGTATCAGTGTAAATGTAGAGCCAGAGGTTCCAGAACTTAGCTCAGTTGGAGACAAACATTTTTCCTTGTCTCTACACAGCCTCCAACAGGAGACATATTTTGTTGATTGGCTTTTCCAGCTCATTTGTTCTCGTCTTGACTCGAACACGTCGAACCAATCCATTTGCATCTGCCATGGTTTCTGTAATGCGTCCAATAGGCCAAGAATTTCTTGGTGCAGTCTCATCAACAACAAGCACTACATCATCAATGGCAAAGTTCCTGCGAGTCTTGTTCCATTTCCGTCGTTCTTGCAACATAAGAAGATATTCTTTCACCCACCGTTTCCAGAACAGGTCCACAATGTATTGGACTTGCCTCCAACGTCTTCGCATGTAAAGGTCCTCCTTTTTGAACAAACCTGGCGGCAGCACAGGCTTTCCTTTTAACTGGAGCAAATGATTTGGAGTAAGAGCCTCCAAATCATTGGGATCTTCAGAAGAAGGTGTAATCGGGCGATCATTTAATATACCCTCCACTTCACATAAAACTGTGTGTAAACTTTCATCATCTAGTACTTGCTGGTTTGTGATGGAGTGCAGTACCTTTTTTATTTCCTGCACCAGGCGCTCCCATACACCACCATGATGGGCTCCATAAGGAGGGTTGAAAGTCCACTTTATTCCATCTTGTGCTAAGCATTTTTGAATTTTGCTTTGCTTTAGCTCTAACATGGCTTGCTTTAACTCACGATTTGAGCTGACGAAGTTGGTTCCGTTGTCCGACCGGATTTCCTTGACTTGTCCTCGGCGGCAAATGAATCTCCTGATGGCGTTTATACAGGAATCTGTGTTGAGAGAATGTGCCACCTCAAGGTGAACTGCACGACAGGTTAGGCATGTGAAGAGAACTCCATATCTCTTTACAATAGTTCTTCCTCTCTTCACTTCTATTGGTCCAAAGTAATCAGCACCAACATAGGTAAATGGTGGAAGATCAGTTGAGATT